AGAAAGAAATCAACTGAGGAAAGAGAGGGTGAGGGAAGGCTGGAGATTTGCTGAAAGAAGTTGCGAGTCAGTGGTTTTGAACGGCAGTAGCGTAAACTGACTAGAGAAATACGGTAGAACTGCTGAGCACACCAAGCCATACAGATAGAGGACAGTGGTCAGGATCGTTGCTGTTCCCTACCAGGACTAGGCACTGAGAAGACAGCTAGATCTTGGTTTAATTAATCACTGTTGACAGGTTAGATATTAGTAGGGGAAAGACAGTAAACAGTAGGGAAAGGAGTGACTGCATTGGCAATCCCAAGGAACTCAAGCAGCTGTTAAAGTGAGGCTGATAAACTAGATGCGCTCAAGACTAGAAGAACGGCCAGACGGGAGATTTTTCACATTGAGATTTACGAGGTAAACACACACGGAAATGAAAATTTCTAGGCTATGATTTGGGAGTGTGCAGCTGAAGTGTGGTGGATGGACGACGCCTGGCAAACTCGATACCTTTACCAACTCTCCCACTGAGAAGAATTTAAAATGATGAATAAGATATAGATCTCTATTTCTAAGTGGATCAAGGAACTGGTAATAAAGCAAGGCCAAAGTAAAATCGATGATGGTCAGGGCACTGAGGTTGGCTTCTGCAGTGAGGACTTCTGAGTACAGGGGATACTGAATTTGAGATTTTACCTCCTTGAGAGGGAGTTATAAGCGGTCACAAAGTCCAGGGCAAAAGAAAGTAGTCTAAAAGACAACACTTAATGCTAAAGCTTGAATGCTAGGAATAAAACTGTTCTGACAGCAGACAACAAGGAAATCTTAAAATTTGGCCCTGAGTAAAGGGGAAGAAAAATCACACCTGGAAGTTTATAAGTACAAGCCAGCCCTTCTGTGTATTTTGCTGCCTAAGTCTCACTACCTGGGTGGTCTGGAAAAACTTGAAGAGGAGAATTCAGTATAAAGTGCCCGTCCTTCACTAGTACCCATAGGCATCTGGCTGAAACAATTGCAAATCCTCTTTAAATGAACTCTCTTCAGCACAGGCTTCAGAGAATTCGCATAGAAATATAAATCCACGGTTACAAAGCACCATGGGTATTATCCAACAGAAATAACAAACAACTGAATAGCACTCACAGAAATTTTAGTCAGGTATTGAAAACATCAGATGATGAGAAAAATAATATGCAATTTATAAGGATTCAGGAGGGAGATGCTAGGAAATCATCATTTGTGCCTGATGCTTTACATGGATGTAACAGTAGATCCTATCTATAAATTAGAATAAAGACTTTTCAACAAAATTGCACCTTAAAGGTCAGTGTTTACAAAATGAATTTCTACTGTCAGCAGAGATGGGTAGAGTGTATAATGAAAATCAAACATTACTTACAATACTATAAAAATATCAAGTGTCTAGGAATAAATGTAGCAAAATAGGTGCAAGACCTGTACACCTAAGTAATAAAAATCACTCACACAACTTAAGAGACCCGACTAAGGAAATAGAAAGAAGTGAAATTGTGAAGTTTTCATTTTCTCAAATTGATACATACACTTAATTTAATAACGTGATAATCCCAACACAATGGGTTCTATCGTTATTTTTTTTTAGGCTTTTTTGGTAGCAGGAGGGGTGGTAGATTGATCTCACGTGTATCAGGCTGGCACTGAAGATGATTTGGGAATGTATGATCTTTAAATAAATGATGCTGACACCTCTGATTATTCACACAGAAAAATGAATTTGAACCCTATCTCATGTCACATGCCAAAGGGCATCATGAAGGTTTGATACAAGAGAATGCCGCTAAAGGAAGGAAAAGGTTTTTGAAACTGGACAGAAAATCACAGGGGATAAAGGAAAATGTTACTAAAGGTTATTTACGTAAAAATTAAGAATTTCTGTTCATTGAGAGATGCTATGGGAGTGCAAAGATAAGCCATACACAGGAGTGTTTTCTACATCTGTGATACCAAGAGTTAAAATCCAAACTACATTAAAAAAAATTGTCAGCCCTAAGGAAAAGACAATATAATTTACTTTAGGTGGGAAACCAGTTTGAATGGGCACTTCACTGAAAATATAAATGGTGACTACTCATGTGAAAATACACTGGATGTTTTTTGTAATCAGTGAATGAATTAAAATCACAGTAGAGGGGCTGGGGATTTAGCTCAGCTGCACAGCGCCTGCCTGGCAAGTGCAAGGTTGCAAGTTCGATTCCTGGTACCGGAAAAAAACCAAAAAAAGAAAAAAAGATAAAATCACAGTAGCATATTTTAATCCCATCAATCTGATGATAAATATTTTAAAATATGAAATAAGTATTAGGGAAGATGTAAAAGCCACTGAATTCTTGCACATTGTTGATGGGAACGTAATTATGTCATAGCCATTTTAGAAGATAATTTGAAATTATCTGTTAGGTTGAAAATGTACATGCCCTTTGACCCAGAAGTTTCACTCTTTAATATTTAGCATAGGAAAATTCTTCTACACACGTAGTAAGAGGCAGGTGTGACGATGTTCATGCTGGTTGTATCACCACTTGTAATAGCAAAAGCTATTCATCAGCAGTGGGATGGGTTAAAAATTAACTGTATACCCGTGTAATTAAATACAGCAGTCAACATGGGTAAGTTGTAATTGTTTGCATGAACATGGATACATCTCAGAAACATATGCCTGATGTTGAACAACAAGGCACAGAAAGATGCATACGGAAATATTCTAATTATGTTGTGTATGTTTACGCACATATGTACATGCAGTAAAATTGAAATAAAATAAAGGGAATGATGAGGAAAGAGGGATGCATTAGAAAGGAACACATAAGGTTTAAATGTTCTATTTCTCACTAGCTACCACTATCCTATTAGATAAGGGATCATTGTATTGCTATTTTTATATGTATTTACTTTACATTCTTATATATTCAGTTTATTATTATGACTATTATTATTACTTTTGGTGGTAGGAATTAGCCCCAAACCTTGCACATGCTATGCACATGCTTTTACCACTGAAGTACAACCCCAGGTACTATTTTTATTTAATAAAAATAAAAATTTAAAACTCTTTGGAGTTGAGGAGGTAAAAGAGGTTTATCAAGCATTCTTTTATGCTTGGAAGCTGGAAATAGCAAAGGTCCAATCGGACTGGTTAAATAAATTGTTACACCTCTACAACTGAATAGCATATAGCAATGAAGACTGATGGGTTACAGGTGCATGTACTGATACAAGACGATGTTTTATAACAGGTGGAAAAAGAAACAGAACAATATAATATTTCCTTTGTATAGGAACATATACTGATAACATGCACTGAAGAATATGAAAAATATTTAGTAGACATACCAAAAAGTTAACAGTGTTGACATCTAAGTGTTGGTTGTTAGCATTATATATGCATATTTCTTCTTCATTTCTCCTACTTTTTCAATCACAGACATGTATTACTCTTATACCAGAAAACAAATCAGAGAAAGAATAATAAAGAATATCTAAGAAAAGTCAGGGGCCTGGGGATATAGCTCAGTGGCACTAGTACCTGCCTGGCACATGCAAGGTCCTGAGGTCAATTCCCAGTACCAAAAAAAAAAAAAAAAAAAGAAAAGAAAAGAAAAGAAAAGAAAAATCAGAAAGGATATAAACTGTAAAATACTTGGATATGAAATGAGCTTCACAAAATATGTCCAAAAAAACTATATTCTTCTTTGAGCTAGAAAAAGACTTGAAGGTAAGTGAATGTGTGTGTGTGTGTGTGTGTGTGTGTGTGTGTGACAAGGTTCTGGCAAGAAAGACTAAATATAATAAAATTAAATTCTTCCCTATTACATTTACAAGATTAAAATAATCCCCAAGAGAATCCCAATGGATTTTTAAAAATTGATAAAAATGGGTCTAAAGTTTATTTTAAAGAATAAATGAGGCTATTTATAGAAGAATTGTGAAAATTAATAAATTAGAGGTTAGATTTGCTCTAATAGATATTAAAATGCATGATAAAGCGGTAACCATTGACAACTATGATATAGTCAAATGGGAAGATCTGAAACACCTAATAGTGCTAAAACATCATTTTATACCTTTAAAAATAATGTATGATGAAGTCATTGTAATAGAGAAAGCGATGAATTATTTAAAGAATGACACTGAGAAGATGGCTTTATTTTTTAAATTTGTATTTTAAAGAGAATAGAAACTTTAAAAATATTAAAAACGATACAGAATTTCAAAACAAGATGATAGGAAATCAATAATAGTTGTTATACTGTATGTGGTTATCTTTAAAGTAGTTGTTCAGATTACTAGATATAGGCATGCAAAGTTGATCAAAAAATATTAAGCATTAACTGTTCCTTTCAGTAGAAGTTAGTAGTACAATTATCTTAGCTATTCTGTGTGT